GGTGAAACATAAATTTCAAAATGCTCTAATCCAATTATTCAATGATTCACTCAATAGAGAATATTTCAAAGAGCCCAATAAAAATTTTATTAGGCATTTTAATTACAAATTACTACTCAAATGTTGACTTATAATTTAAGTTATTGGTGATTATATAAGCACCCAAAACAATAGCCGTTTATATCCGAAACTCAAATATTAATTAAATTACTGAAATTTTTTATTAACTGTTCTTCATTATTAGGTATGATCAATTGAAAGGAAATGTAATGCAGAAGTGTGTCTTATAAGTTCATGGGAGCATAGGCATTAGGTGGTATCAAAGTGACACAGTCCACTACGTATTGTTCAATATGATTAATCATTCTTTATATATAATTATAATTAAATACTATCATTAAGTTCTATAAAAGGGGAACTATGATTTTTGAAAAGGCTCATCTAAGAAATCAGTAATCTTTCTCCAAAATGGTTTTGGTTTACCATCGTCTCTTCTCTTTTGTTCAGATAATTTGAATTCAACAGCATTTTGTGTATCACCCAAGTAGAAATTTTTTTGAAACAATGAAGCGATAAATGGAATAGCAGTGACTACTAAAGAAACAATAAAAAGGTAATAAGCAGTATCAAAATAAGCTTTTATAGCACCTTGTCTCTCTGGTGAATCATATGCATATGTGCGAATTGAAGTTATTGAACCAAATAATGTCAAAACTTCTTCATCAGAAACAGAAGATGGCATAAATTTTCTTAAATTACCAGGCATTTTACCTTGCCATATAGCACTTGAAACAGCAGAGCCAATAGCACCACCAATAGAAGACCACTGAAGTAGTAAAGAAATGACTAATGCAGTATCTTGATGAGGAACGGAAGCTTGTGATGCAACTTGTGAACCAACACTTGAACAAGCACCACCAATACCTAATAAAATCTCAGTCCAAACTAATGCACCAGTAGATGCATGATCATTTCTTGCCCAAAGTGTAATACCCATCGAGATTAACTGTATAGTAAGACCGAAAACTTGTAAGTATTTGGTTCTATGTGTATATCTCTGAATAACACCCACAACAACACCAAAAAAGCATAATGACATTGTTAGTGTATTATTGAAATAAGTCCAATTTTGATATGAATATTCTTTGATAACCCAAACATAGGATGAAAAATAAAGCATCTTAATATAACCTGCAAACATATAAAAGAAATCAATAAAAACAGCAGTCATGAATGTTCTATTCAATAAGACTCTCTTTGGCATTGATGGGAATGGAGCAAACCAAAACTCATAAATGGTATAAAGAATTAACAAAATTGCACCAACAGCAATCATTGCGATAATTGAAGGATTCTTCCATTGATTCTCAGCTCCTTGATACAATGAGAAAGGTAATAACAAAAGAGACCAACCGAATCCCATCAATATCAATCCAAAAAGATCAATTTCAAGAGATTGTTGCCATAAAAACTGAAATTTCTGATTTGTGGATAATTCTCTAAAATGGAACGTTTTCGGTTTTTCTAAAGTTTCAGAAGCTTTTATCTTGATATTCTCCTCAGCTAACTTAGCAGCTTTATTGTCTAGCCAAATCATAATGAAAATAGTTGGAGAAATTGCAACAGGCATAATAATGGCAAACATACCATACCCCCATCTCCAATTGCCTTTTCCTAAGATAGCTTCCACAATTAAACCGGCAAACCATGTTGTGATTAAGTATGGCGAGACCAAGATTCCAAATAATAAACCTCTATATTTTAAAGGTGTTAAGTCAGCGGCAATGATTGAGTTCATCAATGTAATACCAGTACCACCAATTGTAACAAATACTTCACCAATAACATAAGCACTGATTGTTTTGGAAGCAGCAACAATGATATAACCCATCATATAAAGCACCAGCACCAAGATATAAGTGATTGGTCTTGAAGTAACATCAGAAAATTTCGCCAACATTGGTTGGGAAACTGATGACATGATTGAAGTTGCAATTTTTAGAGTTGAAATCATAGAATGATGGCCAAATGATGATGTCGCATATGGGGAATAGCTGGATGTTGTTGAGCGATCCAATGAATAAACCCAAGCACAGATTAATAGTGATAGTGCTAAGGAAATTCTAAACCATTTACCTTGTTTTGAAGTATCCATTAAAACTTTAACATTTTCAGCTCTTTGAACACCACGAGAATGATAAACTTTTTGATTTAGTGAAGAAGCATTATCATCAATTACATGTTCATCAAGAGTTTGATGTGATTCATTGGATTCAATTTCATCTTGAATATGTTTTGGTGAATCTAATGAAGTTGTTTGTTGAAGATCAACTTTTTTCTCATCAACGAAATTTTCAACCATTTTGAAGCTTGCGTGAATTTATTTTCTATAAGCATAGATCAAAATGATAAAGAGGATTTGCACACTTTTAAATACCCGATCATATAGATCATATACTCTTTGGAACGGTTCAAATAGATCATCAAATATACATGTTTATTATCATCTACTTTAAATGCCCGTCGATAAATTAGGTAAATGTCGTGTTGTTTTTACGGCGTACTGGACCCTGATGAATCCTGATTCACTGGAGATCTGCTATGTTACGGTGACACCAAGAGTTTTATAAGTGCTCAATTATGTACATAATACATTATACACCCATATTTTGATTATACTGACATGTTCACCGCTCACTGTATATGTTATATCTGAACATAATTATTGCTTTCAAGATTGTATAGATCATCAAATTTAAAAGAACTATAGTTGTTCAACCATGGTATTCAGTATTCAAACAGAAATATTTTGATAGATCTCGCTATGTATAAATTGAAGAAATAAAAGTACTTTATTTTCTCTAAAGAATACATTTTTTCTTCTAAGTTTCAACTTATTATTGTATATGCCAACTCGGATTTTTCACAGCTGTTCAATTAAGCTTAATTATAATTTGCTCATGCCTGGGGTACAAAAGAATCAAGCCATTCGAAAAGTTTTCACCTTATATCTAGGCAAAATAGAAACTAACGTCCATTTTTCAGACCGTAAAGCTTTCAGCTCTATATTAAACTGTTTTCTTCGAAGATAAGTCCACCAATAGCGGTAATATAATGTATATCATTTTGTCTTGGTAAGGTGTTTGTCACAATTTAAGCTTAATACCCGTTATGAACTATCAACATTGTGACATTAATTGCGATACTTCTGCCTGTTTATTGGTCACTTTTAAGTCTGATACTTGAAGCAAGAACAATAGGAGCGAATTTAAGGGTCCACTGCATAAATAATGCGTCAAAAAGTACTTATATTCGAATATACATCCCGCTTAAGTGCGCTTTGAAACTCAAGAAGACCTCTTAAGATTTCAAGATATGATTATTGATTTAATAGACTAGACAATAACCATGATTTTATGGCGAATTGTGATTTGCATTTGTTTACTTATTGATCAAGGTTCAGAATTATGGATCATAGATGATAAAAGATCTAGTCAGATGGTTAGAACCGATCTTTACCCAGAAATCAAGCGCCAATACTTGAGTCGGGTCATCGTTATACTAGAATGTAACTAATGTAATAGATTAAAATTCAGGCAGTAATCAGGTAGCTGATATTTGATCCTACAAACTTGTCACATAAGATCGAAAAATAAATAAATCACCAAAAAGAAGTTCATTATGATCATTAATTTGTTTAATCCATGAATCAAATAACAAATTCTTTATGGCTCTGTATATTAATCAGCTGATATTATATCTTAATCCATTAGGGGTAACTTAATCATGAACAAGCCTGAGAAAGCCAATTGTCCGATTATAAGTTAAACCCATATTAATGTATATAATTTTTAAGCTAATTTGATTATAGCGTAATTAAATTGTGAGCGTAAAGCCAAAAATACTTTTCACCACCGATGCATCTATTAAGCCAACATATTGAATTACTAGTAAAAGCCTTTCAAAAGAATACATGAATGAGCTGTTAAAGAATGACACCAACAACACTTGATTATTGAAAAAAGGAAGTGCAATTCAAAGATCTTTAAAAATAGGGAGTTTTATAAGATACTATTATTATACATATCTGCTGCCCATATCGATTACATAATCTGTTATATAATAGATATGTATATAGCGTGCATATAATTTTTCATGATAAAGTTCAGTACTACAATTTTTATATTTCAAATCAAATTATCAAAAGTATATATTAAAATTTTATTAAATTAACTGAAAACCAAAGTACAGAACTATTTACAAAAAGGTATTAATTAATGAAAATCAAATTAGTTGTAATAAGAGAGATTATGCAAATTTCATAATAATGATCTAAGCATAAGTTCTTGTTAAAGGTTCATCGAAAAATGCCTTAATTTTACCAAAAAATCCAGTTGGTTTTTGACCAGATCTTGGATCAACATTTTTATGCTCAACAGCATTTTGATGATCACCTAAATAGAAATTTTTTTGGAATAATGCAACAATTAATGGAATAAATGCAATACCTAATGCTGGGATATATAAATAATAAACTGCATCAAAATATGATTTAACTGCACCTTGTCTAATTTCTGAATCCCATGGATAATTACGAATCTTGGTAATTGATCCAAATAATCCTGCAATTTCTTTATCTGTAACTGATGATGGTAAATTTTTTCTTAAATAATATGGAACTTTATTTGACCAAATTGCTGAACCAACAGCTGAACCAATAGCATTACCAATTGATGACCATTGTGATAAAAGAGAAATAACTAATGCAGTATCTTGATGAGGAACTGAAGCTTGAGATGCAACTTGTGAACCAACAACAGAACATGCACCACCGATACCAATTAATAATTGAACCCAAACTAAGGCAGCAGTTGAAGCATTATCATAACGAGCCCAGAAAACAATACCTTTTGCAACGATTTGAAGAGCTAACCCGAAAACTTGCAACCATTTAGTACGTTGAGTATATCTTTGAATAATTCCAACAATAACACCAAAGAAACAAAGACCCATAGTCATTGTATTATTATAATAAGTCCAATTTTGATATGACCAATCTTTAATAACATAAACATATGAAGAAAAATATAAAGTTTTCAACATACCACCAAACATATAGAAAAAATCAACACAAACTGCAGTCATAAAAGTTCTATTAATTAACACTCTTTTTGGCATTGATGGATAAGGAGCCCAAGTAAATTCATAAATTGTATAAATGATTAAAAAAATACCACCAACAACAATCATGGCAATCATTGAAGGATTTTTCCATTGATTATCAGCATTCTTATATAATGAAAATGGTAATAATAAAAGAGACCAACCAAAACCCATCAAGATTAAACCAATTAAATCAATTTCTAAAGTTTGTTGCCATATAAATTTTAATTTTTCTTGTCTTGTCATTTGAGTAAATGTAATTGATTCTGTTGAAATTAAAGTTTCAGGTGCATTTAATTTAGCATTTTCTTTAGCTAATTTATCAGCTTTATTATCTAACCACATCATAATAATAATAGCTGGAGAAATTGCAACAGGCATAATAATGGCAAACATACCATAACCCCATCTCCAATGATCACGACCCAAGATAGCTTCCACAATTAAACCTGAAAACCATGTAGTAATTAAGTAAGGAGAACCTAAAATACCAATTAATAAACCTCTATATTTTAATGGAGTTAAATCAGCGGCAATGATTGAATTCATTAATGAGATACCTGAACCACCAATTGCAACAAATACTTCACCAATGATATAAGCACTAATTGTTTTTGATGAAGCAACAACGATATAACCTAAAGTATATAAAACTAAAGCTAAGATATAAGTTGCAGGTCTTGAAGTAACATCAGAAAATTTAGCCAACATTGGTTTGCAAACTGAACCCATAATTTTAGTTGCAATTTGTAAAGTTGAAAGCATTGAATGTTTATTAAATTGTGAAGTTGCATAAGGACCATAATTATAAGTTGTTGAAGAATCTAAAGTATAAACCCAAGCACAAATTAAAAGGGAAATACTCATAATAATTCTAAAAAATTTACCATTTTTAGTTGAATCCATCAAAACTTTAACATTTTCAGCTCTTTGAACACCTCTGGAATGATAAACTTTATGTTGAGATGAAGTATCAGTATCATCATTAATATATAATGGAGTTTCTTTTTCAGAATCTGATAAATTTGTTTTTTCTTTAACTATATCAGAACTTGAACCATTATCATTAATTTCATGAACTTGTTGAGCTTGATCAACTTGAAATTGATTTTTTTCAGACATTATATTGATGAATAATGATAAACTTGAAAGATCAAATAATTTGAGATAACCTTATGAAATCTATGGATTTACAAGTTTATTTATATATATAAGATACATTGCACATCTTGATCAAATAGATAATATACACATGTACAGTACAACACAAATTTTTTCATTCATCTAGGGTAAAATGGGTAGTAATTTGTAAAGAGTTGATCAATTATCATACAGTTCTATTATACCCCCGAAGCCAAGACCCCGGTATACCTTTTTCTTTTAAGAGTTAATGAGACGTTATAGGTTTAACTTTAAATGTTCACCTACGATGCGGCCTAGTACTGATTCAAAAGGTATACAATTTCCATTATAACGGAAATAACAAGTATTAAGAAGCAATAGAAAATAGAATAAAACTGTTTTATGTATAACGTTAATTAATTGAGATCCTAACTTTGATTTCATACGTTATTTACTTTCAAGTTTCCTAGTTTGTTTAAGCTTAAAGACGATATTCTAATAGTAAATAATACGGCCGTTATACACAAATTCATTATATAAGCAAAGTCCTGCAACTGCCAAGAGCGCTGAATTGAAATTTATTGGAAAGGCTTACGGGGACCACTCCCAATTGGGAACAGTTCCCGTTTGTATTTTAATCAACCGTTGCATAATCAGATCAATCAACCAAACAAACGTACAAAGTTCAAACTGTTATTGGATTGAATCACCGACAATTACTAGTAAATGCATAGAATATATCAAAAGGACAAAGTGTATATGGTATATGGTATATGAACAGTCAAAGTGTCATATCGAATAGTACTAATACCATGAATATAACCACCAGTGTTGAAACCATGGATTGTTCTTTCTTTTTCCATATGGTTGTATTGTTACTTATCGAAAATTGTCTTGTCTAGAAGCGATTATACAAACGTATTACTAGTACTAGCTGGCAATACGCCCATTAAATTAAATGTACGAATCACGATCAAGATTCAAAACTAGAACTTTATTTAACCATAAAACGTATTTTAAACTTCATCAACAGCAAAATTGCATGCATGACTATTTAACTAATCGGTACCAGAAAGCCGCGAGCAGCTGGCCAGCCTGAGACCCTGTAATTCGTGAATTTTAAGGGAGAATTCAAGTTTTAGTTAGGTTATTACAAGAGTAGAACTTCAATTATATGAAAGCATTTGATAACATCAATAGTAAGCTAAACGTACTATACAAATCAGTTTATAATCAACAATGAATAATTTAAATCTTGATCATAGGTACTTAATAGCTGAACCCTTAATATTACATAACACTTCAGGAAAGCATTACTTAATCGCTCTCTAGTTTGGGTGCGCATTCTCCTTTGCATTTAAGTATAAAGTTTAAAGCTATACCAAATAAAAATGACTGCATTATAATTATGGAGTCCATGATAATATATTTACGGTAACGAATCATTGATGTACAAATACTACTCGTAATTTTCAAATAAGCCAATCAAGAACAATCATGAGGGATATATTTAAGTTGGTTGCTTAACATATCACCGGGTACTTCATTTGGTTTATTTATCCCTCCACCAAGATATAATTAGTAAAAGCTGACATGAAACGTCTATTCAAGTCAATTTCCGATGCCTCATATCTTAATCATACGTTTAGGCGACGTTTTGGGTTATATTGCGAATTTTTAATAGGCCGTTTTTTCAAAATGCCCAGCCAAAGCGCTGCTGAACTGGTGGCCTGTAGAAGCTTCAATTAGGATCAGAAGTTAAGCTTATTTAGACTTGGGGATTATATACGCTACGGGTAAAACTGAAAGTACAATTATCTCTATTTTGTAAGGTTTACATTGTCATTTTTGACCCCATTCAACTCTTGCTGTGAAATGTGACAGTTCCAAAGCCTCTCTATGAAAAAATCCTGTTGTATCCGTCGCTTTTAAGTATCAATTAAGTAGTTCATATTTTTATAACATTTCAATAGCTGTCTAACCATAAAAATAGTTACTTTTTTTATGGGTGATTTTCGCTTGGAAAAAGAAATTATGGTGGCCTACGTATCAAAATTCAGTAGTAATTGATGGTAAGTTGAGACTCTTAAGATTTTAAATCATGCTGCAGAGATGGACATATAAACTTTGGTAGTAACTAGTGGAGGTATCATACTATCAAGAGGGTATCGTAAATGTGGTTGTATCATGTATGCATTAATCATTAAAGTATAATGGAAAATTGTTGATCCTTTAAACAGCTCTTTGATTAAGATGATCAATTTCTTGGAAATGTATTTAAATGATAAACAATCCTAATTTATCTATTTGATCTAGTACTTTAATAATTTAAACTTATCATTGTTCAACAGTCTTCTTTACAAAACAATTCATCAAGATGACTAAAGACGCTGTTATTGCTGGTGAAAAAGAAGTTGAACTTCATCAAACAACTTCATTAGATTCTCCACATCAAATCCATGATGAAAAAGAAGTTCATGATGATACAACTGATGAATCATCATCATTAAATCAAAAAGTTTATCACTCTAGAGGTGTTCAAAGAGCTGAAAATGTTAAAGTGTTGATGGATACTTCAAAACAAGGTAAATGGTTTAGAATTTCTCTTGCTGCTTCATTATTAATTTGTGCTTGGGTTTATACTTTAGATTCTTCAACAACTTCAAATTATTCTCCATATGCTACTTCATCATTTGGTCATCATTCAATGATTTCAACTTTAGATATTGCTACTGCTTTAATGTCATCAGTTTGTAAGCCAATGTTGGCAAAATTCTCTGATGTTACTTCAAGACCAATTACTTATATCTTAGCATTAACTTTATATGCAATGGGTTATATTATCGTTGCCGCTTCTAAAACTATTAGTGCTTATGTTATTGGTGAAGTTTTCGTTGCCATTGGTGGTTCAGGTATTTCATTAATGAATTCCATTACAACTGCAGATTTAACTCCTTTGAAATATAGAGGTTTATTAATTGGTATTTTATCATCACCATATTTGATTACTACATGGTTTGCTGGGTTAATTGTTGATGCAATTTTGGGTAAAGGTAATTGGAGATGGGGTTATGGTATGTTTGCCATTATTATGCCTGTTGCTATTTCACCAGCTATTGTTATTATGCTTTGGTTAGATAATAAAGCTGCAAAATTAGCTGAAGAAAATGTTGAAATTAAAGCTGCTGAATTAGCATTAGAAAAACCAAAAACTTTTAGATTTAGAGAATTAAATCATACTGAAAGAATTAAATTTTTATGGCAACAATCTTTAGAAATTGATCTTTTCGGTTTAATCTTGATGGGTTTTGGTTGGTCTCTTTTATTATTACCATTTTCATTATATAGAGCAGCTGAAGGACAATGGAAAAATCCATCAATGATTGCAATGTTAGTTGTTGGTGCTTTATTTTTAATCTTTTATGCAATTTATGAATTAACTCTTGCACCATATCCATCTATGCCTAAGAGAGTTTTAATGAATAGAACTTTTATGACTGCAGTATCAATTGATTTCTTTTATCAATGTGGTGGTATGTTAAGATTATTATATTTCTCATCATATGTTTGGATCATTAAAGATTGGTCATATCAAAATTGGACTTATTTTAATAATACGATGACTATGGGTCTTTGTTTCTTTGGTGTTGTTGTTGGTTTGATTCAAAGATATACACATCGTACTAAATATTTACAAGTTTTCGGTTTATCTTTACAAGTTGTTTCAATGGGTATTACATTATGGGCTCGTTATGATCATGCTTCAACTGCTGCTTTAGTTTGGACCCAATTGTTGATTGGTATTGGTGGTGCTTGTTCAGTTGTTGGTTCAAATGTTGCATCTCAAGCTTCAGTTCCTCATCAAGATACTGCTTTAGTTATCTCCCTTTTATCACAATGGTCATCAATTGGTCATGCTATTGGTTCTGCTATCGCTTCAGCTATATGGCAAGGTAAAATGCCAGGTAATTTGAGAAAATATATGCCATCTTCAGTTTCTGATGAACAAGTTACTACATTATTTGGATCATTAACAGATATTCATAAATATCCATATAAATCAGAAGAAAGACAAGGTGCTATTAAAGCTTATTTCGAAACTGTTTATTATATTTTCGTCCCATCATTAATTTTAACAATTGTTCCATTCTTGACTTCATTATTCCAAAAGAATTTCTATTTAGGTGATACACAAAATGCAGTTGAATTTAGACAAGAACAAAGAAGAAATGAATATTCTTCAGATAAACCTAAGCCATTCTGGAGAAAGATCACTGACTTCTTGGATGAACCATTCCAAAGTGCAAAATAGCGTAATACATCATAACGCCAAAATAATATAATTTTAATTAATACATGTTTATAGTTTTTTTAATACCAATCAACTTATAACTTATAACCTATAATCTATACGATCTAGATTTTATTACCCAATGCAACAAGATGCACCTCCACCCAGTGATTACATAACACAAATTATAACACCGCTCCCAGAATTCCATGCGTAACGGGAACCACTCCCAATTGGGAGCAGTTCCCGTGAGATAAAGGCTGCTAAACAGGATCCGAACGGGTTTAGTACAAATTAGGGAATCAAAGGGCTGCTTATCTTGTCAATTCACCCGAATTTTAAGGAATTCAAAGGGCTTATTCACAAAACAGGTCAAGTGTAAGTAGCTTTGTATTTTGTTTCTAATCGGATAATTGAGCTTAAGCCTTATACCTTTGTTAAAAAGCTTAGGCTAGGTTAAATACAGTAGAGCAAATCAAATCAATTAGCTTACCATTTCAGGCAGATGAACTGCTTATAAGATGATAAGCTTAAATTGATCTATAGTTGTAGATTCATATATTCAATCAACAACAATAATTAACCCCAAACGAAGTGACGCATTTTGACAAGCACATCGCTGATTACATTTTTACGCCTGTTTCCTTTGATCAAACAATTGAAAGCTAACGCTGTTTGTTCCCAATTGAGCACGAAATCCATTTTCCCACCCTGTAAAAATGATGGTTCCCGTTTTTTTATAACGTGCGTTGATATACAGTGACAGAAAAATTATTTGAAAGGAGCAAAATATTCATGAGATTTATATGGAACATGGTGCAATTATTTGAAGTGAATTATGAATGATCTATTTGGTTCTCATTGATTATTGGTTATATTCATTGTAAGTTGCAAGACATTGAGCTGAGCCTTGAAGCACATGTATATAAAAAACCAAGTTAATTAAGAAGCATGACATTGGCCCAATGCTATTTCCAGCCTCCAGGGATCTAGCTCTATTTATCTAGAATTATGATTAATATATCGAGTCATATATATGAAACCGCAATATACTTATACTCTCGAGCTTCATGTCAATCCTGGCCACTGGTTAACCCCAACCATTATCCCAAATCTTGTTCCTAGATCTTTAAGATAATTGGTTCCAATTCCGATTAAGTAAGGGTTGCCTCATACTAATGTACGTACCAAGTTCCAACTTACAAGATAATATTATTACTGCAAGATCCCGAAATTTGAACGTTTTCGAAGTCCATAACTTTCTATGATCAGGTAACTACTTTGAAGTTTGAAGCGGATATTCCTTACGGAAGAGGAAGATTAATGGTCATAATTGATAAGTCATATATACTTACGTACTTCCAAAGCTTTCAAACTCCAACGGCCTGTTTGCAGATATATGCCGCATTTGAGTTATAAACTTCAGTAACTACGACGAATAACGAATCAAGATCTATATGTTGATGTCGGTGAATAGCAACTACATACATGACTACTAGTAATTAGCACAGTTACAACTTACAAGTAGAGTACAATTATAGCCGGTATATAACAATATAATTATCTATCATTCAAACCTTATCGAGATTCGACCCAGCCCCAAGATTTTACTCACCAGATCATGTTAGTAGTGATGACTATCACAACTCACGAGCTGCCATCTCCAAACCTTCAATATAGAACTAGATGATCATTATTGGCCACTACGTCTGGTCTCACCATGTGTGATAAACCTTCGTGCTTAAATTTGAGATGATGAGATCTCTCACAAGAGCCAAGAACACTTTAAGCTTATTCTCAACTTTCAACCGTCTCACAACTTTTGGCTTGGTCCGCAAAAGTCATCAAGAGATTCAAGCTTTAAATTTTGATTTCTGTTATGGGTGGACATATTTTTAAAAGAAATTTTTGTTTAATCGCGATATTTCTGTTTATTTGTTCAAATTGTTTGCATAATTGGACATATACGTAGAACGTCCGTAGAATTTTTTTTCCCATAATCTTGATAATCTACATTGTGGATCATAGCACTATCCGTAAATTCTTTCATCAACATGGAAATTGGGTAGCATATATAAATGCATTGAAGAATCCGCTGTTTTTCAAATTATTTTTGTTTGTTGAATCAGTGCTTCATTCAATATCCAAATGACTAAAGACGCTGTTGCTGAAAAGCAAGTTGATTTACACCAAACAACTTCAATTGATTCTCCAAGACCTTTGGAATTACAAGATGATGTTGAATTGAAAGAATCACCAGAATCAATAAGTGATGATACTTCATCATCATTAAACCAAAAAGTTTACCATTCAAGAGGTGTTCAAAGAGCTGAAAATGTTAAAGTCCTAATGGATACCTCTAAACAAGGTAAATGGTTTAGAATTTCTCTTGCTGCTTCCCTTTTAATCTGTGCTTGGGTTTATTCATTAGATGGTTCAACTACTTATAATTATTCTCCATATGCTACATCATCATTTGGTCATCATTCCATGATTTCTACTTTACAAATTGCAACATCAATCATGTCATCAGTTTCTCAACCAATGTTGGCAAAATTTTCTGATGTTACTTCAAGACCAATCACTTATATTTTAACCCTTGTTCTTTATATGTTGGGTTATATCATTGTTGCCTCATCAAAAACAATCAGTGCTTATGTCATTGGTGAAGTTTTCGTTACTATTGGTGGTACTGGTATTAATTTAATGAGTACAATTACCGCTGCTGATATAACTCCTTTGAAATATAGAGGTTTATTATTAGGTATTTTATCAACTCCTTATTTAATCACAACTTGGTTCTCAGGTTTAATTGTTGATGCAATCTTAGGTAAAGGTAATTGGAGATGGGGTTATGGTATGTTCGCCATTATCATGCCTGTCGCAATTGCTCCAGCTATTGTTATTATGATGTGGCTAGATAACAAAGCTGATAAATTGGCTGCTGAAAATATCAAGATTAAAGCCGCTGAATCATTAGAAAAACCAAATACTTTCCATTTTAGAGAATTAACTTTTGTGGAAAAATTAAAATTCATCTGGCAACAAACTTTAGAAATTGATTTAATTGGTTTAATCTTGATGGGGTTCGGTTGGTCTCTTTTGTTATTACCATTCTCATTATATGAATCTGCAAAAGGTCAATGGCACAATCCTTCAATGATTGCTATGATTGCAGTTGGTGCTGTCTTATTAATCATTTACACAATTTATGAATTCTGGGTTGCTCCATATCCATCAATGCCTAAGAGAGTTTTGTTAAATAGAACATTCATGACCGCTGTTTGTATTGATTTCTTTTACCAATGTGGTGGTTATGTTAGATTATTATATTTCTCTTCATATGTTTGGATCATTAAAGATTGGTCATATCAAAATTGGACTTATTTCAACAATACTTTAACAATGGGTCTTTGTTTCTTTGGTGTTGTTGTTGGTTTAATTCAAAGATATACTCATCGTACCAAATATTTACAATCTTTCGGTTTAGCTTTACAAGTTGTTTCAATGGGTATTACTTTATGGGCTCGTTATGATCATGCATCAGATGCTGCTATTGTTTGGACTCAAATCTTAATTGGTATTGGTGGTGCTTGTTCAGTTGTTGGTTCACAAGTTTCTTCACAAGCTTCAGTTCCTCATCAAGATACCGCTTTAGTTATCTCATTATTATCACAATGGTCATCTATCGGTGCAGCTATTGGCTCAGCAATTGCTTCAGCTATATGGCAAGGTAAAATGCCAGGTAATTTGAGAAAATATATGCCATCTTCAGTTTCTGATGAACAAGTTACTACATTATTTGGATCATTGACAGATATTCATGATTATCCATATAAATCAGAAGAAAGACAAGGTGCTATTAAAGCTTATTTTGAAACTGTTTATTACCTTTTTGTTCCTTCATTAATTTTAACCATTATTCCATTCGTTACTTCATTATTCCAAAAGAATTTCTATTTAGGTGATACACAAAATGCAGTTGAATTAAGAGAAGAACAAAGAAGAAAAGAATCAGATAAACCTAAACCATTCTGGAGAAAGATTACTGATTTCTTGGATGATCCATTAAGAAAGGAATAATTTTTGTATATATAATATTTGATTTTTTTTAGTTTAATAACAACTTCATGTTTGATGTTCCAAGTTTAAGGAACAATTTAATAAATATAATACATTACGGTTCATAATAATTTAAAAATGACGTAGAATTTAAATGCAAATATATACCTAGCTCAGCTAGCGCCCAGCGCCCTAATATAATGATTTTCTTTTATAACGGAAATACCAATAGATCCCACCAGATCCTAAGACTGCAATACCAGTTAATGGGAAAACATAAAATGGATAATCATTATTTAATCTATATTGTAAAGGTGGTGGTATGAATGGGAATAAAGCTAAAAAGATATTTGAACCAAGGAAGATGAAATTAAATAATTCAAAAGAATGCCATTTGTTTGGATTTAATCCCCATTTTTCTCTGGTTTTGTTAAAATGTAAATAAATTAACCCTAATGCAACGAAGATATTTACCCAAGTACCTGGATATGCATATAAATTAACAACAAATTGATAAATATTACCATATTTTGGTGGTATAAGTAAAATAATCACAGTTATTAACCAATGTAAAAAGATTGAATTCTTTAAGACTGCAAAAAATGAAGAAAATGGTAAAAAGCCTTCTTTTGATAATTCTTGATTTATTCTTGAATGTGAAAATGATACAGCAAGGACATTACCAAAATTTGATAATGAAATTAAAATTGGTAATAACCTTGATGTTATTGATTCTCCCAAGATTTTGTTAAAGAAAATACCAGCTATAACAACACCAGAATCTGCAAATTCTTCTTTAGGTATAACTAAATAATATGATAAGATAACTAGGAAATATAAAATTGTTGTTATTAAGACAGATAATGGAGCTGAGACTTTCAAAGTTTGATGTGGGTTCTTGATCTCTGATAAAACATAATTTGCATTTTCCCAGCCTTTGAATGAATAAATAACTTGTAATAAAGCCACTGAAATATTGTAAGAATTACCTGAATAATTAGGATAATTTTGCCAAATATTGTTAAAATTATCATTTTGAGGTATTTCAATTAAATTCAAATAAGTCAATCCACCAAGGAATATAATAATCATCAAAATTAAGATTTTGGTAAATCCTAAGAATGTGAAAACTTTGGTACTTGAATTTGGATGATATATATGTAGATAAATAGCAAATGTGATAACTCCAATACCAATGATTCTTGGAATCCAATCATTTATATGTTCATCAAACCCCAAGGCGAATAAAATATATTTCCCAAAAGCATATGAATTACCAGAACTAAAACCTAATAGCACAATTTGAAAAGCATAAATACATTCAATCAATTTTTCAGGTCTTGTGAATACTCTTTGTAAATAATTTTTTTCACCACCAGATTTTGGTAATTCTAAACCAAATTCTAAATAAACACTTAATCCACAGAATGTTATAATACCACCAATTCCCCATAGTATTAATGAAGTTCCTATATTTCCTGATAATGAAAAGATTAAACTTGGTGTACTGAATATCCCTGTACCAATCATTTTATTTATGATAAGAGACATGCAAGCGAAAACACCTAAATGAGGTTGAGTATGTTGAGTGTGTTGATGTTGTTGATCTGAGTCATGATGAATCTCTTCATCTCTGGGTATTAAATGTGTGGATTCAGTAGCTACCTGAGTCTTGTGGATCATGATACAAGCAATATATCCAATTAATCAGCTTGAATAGTAATAAAACAATATAATATAAATCAATATTAATCAATAAGAATCAATATAAATCAAAAATCATAGTTCAATATGATTCACTGATATGGCGTAATCAATCGTGAGTGGTAAGGGAAACATTTGATCTCACTTTGATTATTAATCGTTTACATAATCAGTATTCATTACATAATAATTATGTCATAAATTTCCTTTCTCGCGAATTCTTATTTTGATTACTTTCTCCATTTTTCAGTATTTGATAATTAACCGCTGACTGAAGTACTAAACATTTGTTTTATTATCTATTGGCTTTTTATTGATTGTTGTATTGGAATTTGATTATCAACATGGCACAAGTACATATGAATGGGAATAAGCATACCATAAATACCCATGAACAACCACAGGAACAAGTACAGGAACAATCACTTGAGGATAGTATATCTTCATTGTTATCTCAAGTTTCAAATGATTCATTAAACTTTGAATATAAATCAATAACTTCATCTTTCAAGAAATCTGCTAAATTATTCATAAATAAGAAATTTTTGGATTCATATAATATTATTAAAACAATTATATATGAAAGTATTGATTTGAAAAATCAAAATATAATATCTGAATATGAATTTATAAATATTTGGTCATTATACTTTAATTTATTAGATATTTTTTTGAATAAATCAATCATATCCATACCTAAATCTGAAAAAGATTCAATTTATCAAAAATTATTTAAATCAAATGAATTTTGGAATATTTTCCAGAATCAATTAAATCAAATTGTTGATCCAAAATTAATTGTATTACTAGTATTAATTAAATTAAATAATAATGAAATTGATACTGATGAATTACAAAATTTAAGACAACAAATTGATTTATATATGGTTAATTTCACTTCAATTTATAATATAAATGATCAGCTTGCAGAATCAAACCATGAGAAATTACAATCTTTTAATGAATTATTAGAAATTTATCACGTTTTCCTTTTATCAAAATTAAATGAGTTTGAAGAAAGTGAATATTTAATAAATTCAAATCCATATATTTTTGATAAAATTGAAATGATTTCAAAACTTTATCAAACAAAGAAAGATATAGAAGAATCAATTAAAAAGCAAAAAGAATTAAAAGCTAAAAAAATTGAAGAATTAAGGAAAAGAAAAGAATTACAACAAAAAGAAGATGAAGAACTCAAGAAACAAAAAGAATTTGAAAAACAACAAAAAGAATTGATTAAATCACAAAGAAATCATAATAAAAAAATCTCAAAATCTATAACTTCATCTAAAGATACAACAATATTTGAAATAATCAAAAAAAGATTTTTTAAAAATTCCCAACTTTTACAAAATAATCAAATTTTATTCATTATATTCACATTGATTTCATTATTATTATTTGTTAAAAATCATAAAATTTTAACATTGAACAATAAAATTAGACCTATTTTAACCAATATCTGGAATAAATTGAATACCACATTGAAAATGGCATTCCAAGTAACATATATGTAAATAAAAAATGGATTGGTTTGCTAATAAAATTGTAGGATTAGAGAGAGAATATTAAAATCATTGATCTATTTTAACTACTTATATATAATACCCATTAATAATTGAAATCCCATACGTTACCCGGTCTCTAAGTACTACAATAAAATTCTCAAATAAGCCAAATTTCCACCAATTTAAACGGGAAAACTAATGAAATGAACAATATAAGCCCATAGAATAACATTTTGGCATCAAATTATGTATAAGATATACGTATTACCAACGTAATTCCTCACCTTTCCCATTTCCTTCTCATACTTATTCCCAGTTTTCTTAAATTTCAATTCTCAAATTTCCGAAAATGTCAAAAAAGGATTTCAGAAAAAAGACAACAATTTTAAATCAACAACAACAACAAAGACAACCAATACACACCAAAAACTAAACAAAACAAAAGATATTCAATTGATTTCAAAAAGATTTTGAACATTTAGATAATTACAACATCTCTGAGAGTTTCAATCAAGCTGATTTTTTGACTTTTTTCCACTATACTTTTTTCTTCTTCTTTGGCTTATCAAATTATTGGTTAAAAGATATTTAACCCATAAATCAATATAAAATCAAATTCAAAATACATCTAAACCTACAAAACTTACAATTACATACACACAATGGCACAAGAATCAAGTGATGATATATACCCATTGGCCTTATTAATGGATGAACTGAAACATGATGATGTTGCTAATCGTGTTTCTGCTATGCAAAAATTAGATACAATTGCATTAGCTTTAGGTCCTGAAAGAACAAGAGATGAATTGATCCCTTTCTTAAATGAAGCTGCCCAAGATGATGAAGAAGAAGTTTATGCTACTTTAGCTGAACAATTGGGTGATTTTGTTCCATTTGTTGGTGGTTCTGAATATGCAACTATTTTATTACCTGTTTTAGAAATTTTAGCTTCAACTGATGAACCAATTGTTTCTGAAAAAGCTGTTGGTTCTTTAAATAAGGTTGCTCAAGAGTTTTCAATTGATCAAATTAAAAATTCATTTTTACCTTTAATTGAAAATTTATCTGATGCAAATTGGTTTTCAAGAAAAGTTGCTGCATGTGGATTATTTGAAAGTATTATAACAAGAGTTAATGATGATATTAGATATGATTTATTAAACATTTACCTCAAATTAACTCAAGATGAAACTCCAATGGTTAGAAGACCTGCTGCAAGTCATTTACCAAAAATTATTAATTTATTAAATAATTCAAAAGATGTTAAAGTTAATGAAAAAGATTGGGAAATTTTAAGTGAATGTTTCCAAAATTTATCAAATGATAATCAAGATTCTGTTAAATTATTGTCAATTGATATCTTGATTGAAATTTCAAAATATTTCCATGATCGTAAAGATAATTCTCATAATCAAGAATTATTGAAAAGTTCTTTAAAATTAATACAAGATAATAGTTGGAGAGTTCGTTATATGGCTGCTGATAGATTTACTTCAATTGCAATCAATTTTGAAGATGATCAAAATAATATTGATGAATTAATCGAACCTTTTTCAAAATTATTAATTGATAATGAAGGTGAAGTTAGAAAAGCAATTGCTAAACAATTACCAGGTTTTGGTAAATTAATTAGTAAAGATGTATTATTAGAAAAAATTATACCTCAAGTTGAAGAATTAAGTAATGATCCTTCAGAATTTGTTAGAAGTTCTTTAGCAAGTGAAATTACCGGATTAACTCCTTTATTACCAAAAGAAGTTGTTATTAAAAATTTATTACCAATTTTCTTAACAATGTTAAAAGATGAATATCCAGAAGTTAAATTAAATATTATTAGTAAATTGAAAATTGTTAATGAAGTTATTGGAATTGACTTATTAGCTCAATCTTTATTACCTGCAATTTCTGAATTAGCAAAAGATAAACAATGGAGAGTCAGATTAGCAATTATTGAATATATACCTTTGTTAGCTGAACAATTGGGAGTTTCATTTTTCGATGAAGAATTGGGTGATTTGGTATTATCATGGTTATGGGATAGTGTTTATTCAATTAGAGAAGCTGCAGTTAATAATTTGGAACAATTGGCCAAAATTTTCGGATCAAAATGGGCAGATGAAGAAATTATCTCAAGAATATTAAAAAGTGATTCAAATTCATTAAACAATTTTGTTTATCGTATAACTTCATTATTTACTTTAACAAGATTAATTCCAGTTGTTGATGAATCAATTATAATTGAAAAAATATTACCATTTATTGAATCTTTAGTATCTGATCATGTTGCAAATATTAGATTCAATGTTGCAAAATCTTATCTTGTCATTTCCAAAACTTTATTACACAAAGATGAATCTTCAAAATTATCTAAAAAAGAACAATCTGAAGCAATTAAATTTATAAATGAAAAAATCATACCAAAAATTGAAATTTTAAAGAAAGATAATGATACTGATGTTAGATATTTTGCTAATCAATCATTAAATGGTATCAATTCATTATTAGAATCTACTGAAAATTGAGTTTTTCTATTCACTACCTCTTCAAATTTCAGTTCCAATTTCATAAATCATGACCACGTTATACAATCATCCATATTTTCGTATTATATATAAATGCTTTTATTTTCCAGAAATGCATCTGTTGTTTTTTTGTTCCTTTTGATTTTTCAAATAAAGTCTTTTATTAAATGAAAGAAATGATTAAAAATATGTTATCTTTAATTGTAGTTTGAATCGTTTTGAATCTTAGTACTATAGTTAATTTTACTTATACTGATTACATAATATACGACGTTCCCATAACAAAAAGTTCTCGAAACGTAATCATTTAAAGTGTGGACAATAATATGGACATTGGACACATAATGAATTGAAAAATAATTTGATCTTGAAGTTTTACACATTTATTATATATATAAACTACAAAAAGATGGCTGATTTGATCAAGGGAAGATTCCGTAAGGATATAAAATACAAGGCTATTATTGATAAAGTCATTAGTGGTGATCGTGTGGTCACCCATATCTATTTTGATGATGGTGAAGAAGCTGAATTATCAACATTAATTGCAGGTTTTAGAACCCCAAGATCTTCAGATCCTAAAAATGGTACTGCTGCTGAACCATTTGGTGATGAAGCTAAGAAATATATTGAAACTAGATTAGTTAACCAAAAAGTTTTCGTTCAATTCGTTGGTACCAGTTCAACTGAAGTTCCAATCATTAAAATTTATCATCCAGCTGGTAATATTAGTGAAAAAATTATTGCTTCTGGTTTAGCTGAAGTTGCTGACTGGCAATCATCTTTAATTGGTGCTGAAGGTATGGTTATCTTAAGAAATGCTGAAAAGCAAGCTAAAGCTGGCGGTAAAGGTTTATGGAAATCATTAGTTAAACCAACAACTACAACATCTACAACCTCTAAATCAGCATCAACTTTCAAGATTGGTTCCACAATTGAAGGTACAATTGATCGTATCATTTCACCAGATGCTTATTCAATCGGTCTACAAAATGGTACACAACAAACTGTTTATTTATCATCAATTAGATCTCCAAGAGCAACAGATCCTTCAGCTCCTTTCTTACCACAAGCTAGAGAATTTGTTCGTAAATATATCGGTAAAAAAGTTTCCATATTAACTGATGCTTTCAGAAATGAAAACCCATTAGTCACTATAACTTTACCAAATGGTAAAAATTTAGCTGAAACTATTGTTTTAAACGGGTACGCTACAGTTATTAAACATCGTCGTGGTGATGATGATAGATCAAGTGCATGGGATGCTTTAATTGAAGCTGAAACTATTGCCACAAAAGAAAAGAAAGGTATTTATTCTAATAAAGTCCCAGAACCTGAAAAAATCATTGAAGCTTCAGAAAATTCTCAAAGAGCCAAGATTCATTTAAGAACTTTACAAAATCAATTGAAGATCCAAGGTATTGTGGAATATGTTATTAGTCCAAACCGTATTCGTATCTTATTACCACGTGAAAACATTCGTTTAGTCTTGGTATTTGCAGGTTTATTATCATTATCAAAAGAATCTCCAATCTCTCAAAAAGTTATTGATTACTCAAATAAACATATTTTACAACGTGATGTATCAATTGAATTATTTGATGTTGATAAAGTTGGTGGATTCATTGGTAATTTATATGTCAAAGGAAATAACCATCCTTATCAAATTGAATTATTGAAATTAGGTTATGCACAAATTCATGATGGTTCTGTTTCAAAGACTAAATTTGAAGATCAATTTTATGATGCCGAAGAAGAAGCCCAAGATTCAAGAAAAGGTGTTTGGATAAATTGGGATCCTGAAGAAGAAGAACGTAAATTTCAAGAAGAAGAAGAAAAAAGAAGAGCAAAATATGAAGAAAAAATTGCTAAAACTAAGAAAGCAAATGCTTTTGATGATGATGAAGATGATATTTCTCATTTACCTGAAGCTGTTAGAAAATTAGTCATTAAGAAATGATTGAACGATTAAGATACTTCACGTAATATATGCATATACATCTACATATTGTATGGTTTAAATCAAAATGATTACGCTTTAATATACTTCCATATATTTAAAGAAATGTAAAACTATGTTCTTGAAAAACTTAATTTTGAATAATTCAGAATCTATGTACAGTGGTATTTTGTTCTATATATCTATTTTTTGTTTTTCTTTTTGTTTTTTTTACTTGAACCAGCTTGGCCATTAACAAAAGCTAAAACTTCATCAACACTCTTTGATTCGAACTCTTTCTTTGTTTTGATTGATTTGTTTGATTTACCAACGGTTTGAGTTTGTGCTTCAGCTTGATTCTTTTTGGCTAATTCTTTCATTCTTTGTTTGGTGATTTTTTCATTTTGACTTTGAACACGCTGATAAGCTGTAAAGTTATCAACTAATAATTTAGCTTGTTTAGTCAAATAATGTTTTGGACCAATGGATATTTTCAATGCACCATAAGCTTCAGAAGCAGAATCTAAAGCCAATTTGAATTTTTCATCAACAGCAAGAGCATATGAATAACGGTATTTTAAGAAACCATAGGCATATGAATCTTTACCATGAATTTTAATAGTTAAATCTATCAATTTGTTCAATAATTTCAAAGAAACCTTATTTAAACCAATTCTTTCTAAATAAAAGATAACATTAGTGACAATTGAAGAAAGTGAAACATGTTGAGTGGAGAAAATTGTACCCCAGATTCTAGTTAATAAACCATAAATTTTAACCATATTAACAACACTACCATTTTCAATTTCCAAGAAGGCCAAGTTTAATAAAGCAACAAATGTATCATGTGAATCTAAACCAAAAGTTCTTTCACTAACAGCAACACTTCTGCGTGAAAGTAAAGTAGCTTCACGTTTCAAACCTAATTCTTGATATAATTGAGCTAAAGTAGCATATAATTTGGCAACTTCTGGATGAACTTGACCGTATACTTGTTCATACACAGCAATTGCTTCAGAAATCAAAGCTAAACCTTCTTCTTTCTTAGATTCATCTGCTTGTAATAATGATTGACGACCAAGTTCAAAAATTTGTTCACCCGCTGTAGAACGAGGAATTGAATCTTTAATGATTGGTGCCAATGAAACATCTTGTGCTTCAAACACATTCAATTTCTCAGATGAAGCAGGTGGAGAAACGGATCTACTTCTCTTTGATTTCTTTTCTTTAGTTAAAACTTGAACATGTGCTTCATAAGCTTCTTTGGTAAAGAAATATTCACGTTGTTGCCATTGAATACCGAATTTCAAAGCAATTTCTCTTTGTAATTGAACAGGTTTGACAAATTTGGCATCCCAGTTTTCTGGTAAATCATATCTATACCAGACTTGGACATCTTTAAAAATAAGTTCACGAACAATTTCTGGGGTCCATTTAGTGAAAGATAAGTCTTTTTCGTTATAGAAATCAGATTGTTCAATGATGGCTTGTGGTGTTTGGTTAAATGATGAACCAAGTAAACAATTGTGGAAATGTGAAACTAAAGCTGGAACCAAATCTAATGGTAGTGATAATGCTTGATCCCTCAAGACGTGTTTAGCAGCACGTGCAATTAATTCTTGAATAACAATTTCATAAAAGTATTGGAAGTGTTTAGATTCAGCAACTGGATAAGCATCTGTATCTTCTTCTTCATCATCAAGTTTCTCTTCATCTTTGTCATCATCTTTTGGAACCTCTTCACCTCTTTGTAAAGCTTCGGTCTTAGCTTTCAATTTAGCTTCAGTTTTCTTCTTCAATTCTTCTAATTTCTTTTCATAAGCTTCACTGGCTTCTTTATTTTCAATCAAAGTTTTTTCTTCGGATTCTAATGAAGATTTAACTCTTTTTTCAAGCTCTTGAGCAATATAACCCAAGTATCTAATATTAATACCTGATTTATGCATTGTTGAAGATAAATGTGCACCATCAATTGGTAAGATGTTACCTAATGAATCAAAAGAATCCAAGAATGATGGGATCAGATCAGATTTAATGAATTTTGATAAAGCACGAACATTTTCATCAGTTTGACATTTGTCAGGAGTGAATAAGATTGGTTCATCATCAATGACCAATTTTGGATTTTCTTCACCTTCTTCTGATTTCTTTGAAAGGTCAACACCTTGTTTTTCAGCTTCTTTGTTGATCAATTCCCTACCTTTAGTAGCAAACCATTCTTGGACAGCTTCAATTCTGGTAGTAAGTTGTCTATGTGGGTATGAACCTTCTTTTTCAGGGTGATAATGTTCATCTTTGAATTCAACATCTAATGGAGTGGTGTTGAATAAATCCAAAACATATTTACGTCTGTCAGTACCGTACATACCTTTAATTTCGGCATTTGTAACAGTTTCACCATCACCATTTTCAACTTTAACACGTTTGTAATGGATAGCCTTTCTGATTGGATCTAAAGCATTAACAAATTCATCGTTTGATTTGTAAGTACCTGAAGCATCATCGAAACCATAATCAATTTTGGTTAATGGTTCACCATCGATTAATTCAACTTCACCAGTTTCTTCATTTTTAACTTCTTTTGGTTCAGATGAGGTGAACAGACCTGGGACTGGAGTTTGACAGACAACTCTTTTACCAGCATAATCAACAATAGTAGTCAATAAAGTGTAAATACCTTTAGCATCAACAGAGTTCCAGAATTTAATAGCTTTTAAATCTTGGTTGGTGGAAGCTCTAGCAGCTAAATTACCACCTCTTGTTTCAAAGAATCCTGAAGCATCAACACCAAATGAGAAAAAAATACCGTTGTGTAAAAAGATTTGATCAATTGAATCATCAGTTGGGTTCATTGGGGCAATAGCACCAGTTAAAACAGCCAAAGCACCTTTAACAGCATTTGAAGTGAACTCATAAGCAGTTTTAGTTAATAAACGTTCTCTAATGATACGATCTGATAAAGTGGCAGTTGGGAAATCTTTAATTGATTGATATTCATCATTGAAATCTCTTTGAGTGTTGTCTTCAAATTGTGTTTTACCAAAATCTGGAGATGGATTTGAAGCTTTAGTAATCCATGGGTTTGCTAAGAATCCAGTTTGAGGTCTTAAAAAGGTGATTGGATCGATTGAATTCAATCTATCAGTATTTCCTTTAATTATGTTTAAAAAGTTCTTGGATGATTTAGAAATCAGGTCATACAATGTGAATGATTGATTTGAATTTTCACGAGGAGATGGATCAAATCTTGAACTTGATGATTTATTAATGAAAAAACCGGTTGTTGAACCTGTGACATGTAAAGTTTCACTTTCAAATGTTTGTACAACAATATAAGCTAAATGACCTTGTGACTTGTAGTTTAATGGGACAGGATTCCAAGAGCTCAAATGTAAAGCACGAACAGCAGGAGTGACAATTGTTTCTGGAGTGTAATAATCAGCATTTAGTTCACCAAAATAATTATCAATAGCTTGAGTAATTTCAAGTTCTTCATCAGCGGTTGGTTTTGGAAGTTCTTTAGCTTTTGGCTTTTCTTCTTCACCTTCCTTAGCTTTTGATTCTTCGCCATTGGCAGTTTCTTTTAAAACTTCTTCTTCTTTTTCAGATTCAACAGTGTTTTCCAATATTTTACCTAACTTCAAATCATTAATTTTAGAAACACCGGAATTTAAACCAAAAGTTTCAGGTTCATTTAAACCAACAATATCTCTAGTTTTAGCAACATGATCTAAGATAGACTTGGCAGTGTAGGTCTTTGGTTTCAAATCTAATTGAATAGATTTTTGTTGGACACTTGAGACTAAGTCAGCCAATAATGTCTCTGGGGTTAAGAGTTGGGATTGTTGGAAAAGATCAAAGCTTGTGATATGATGAGCTTCTGGAACGACACCAATGTGTTGATAGACGTCATTGACGGTTTCTGTCTTGAACAAGGACAGTTCGATAGGCTTAGCGCCTTTCACACTGACATTCACAGTCAAAGTATCTAAATATCATCCAAGTTAGTAATGGGAAATTCGGCCACAAAAAAATAAAAGTCAACACAAAAATCTGGAGTTGGATCTTGATACCCAATGAAGTAACATAAGAAAGTGAAGCGCCAGACTCAGTGAGTTGACGAAGGGGTTACATACCGTTTTGTGGTTGTTCTTCAGCCATTTTGAGATACGACTTGGTTTCAATGTTGTGGAATTGTAATTAATGAGTCAAGACAGAATCTTTGTATGTTGAAAAATCGTTGGACTCTTTCAAGATTCAAACTGGTAATTTTTTTCGACATTGGACCGATGCGGGCACCGGAAGAGGAAAAATATATACACGTGACGCGTCATGTGATAGTAGTGTTATATTGGTTTTAATCATCAGTGATGATTTAGGAACAATAAGGATCGTACTTACCACGGAACTCTCAAATAGTCTACTATCTTCTATGACAGCAACTTTATGAAAGGTCTGGGACCGATACTCAATTGATGTTCAATGAAAATTTTGTTATAATAATAAATTCATGATGCAGGTATTATAAGTTATTAAGTTAGTTACAAATGAAACGATGAACAGTTCAACAATCCATAAAATATTAATCGTTAATTAGTTTGTATAGTTTATCTATAGTTATGAAATCATACCATGTAAGGTAGATAAGATCAAATCCGCACATCAAAGCTAAAATGAAGCAGCAATCAATAATATTACTAGTAGTTCTTAAGCTGATTTAACTTCTATTTCATCTAGGAATTTTTTTCACAGTCCTAAACTTCTGCGAACATCTCTTCTAACTGTTCTTTCAAACTCTTTGCGATCATCTCTCCATAATTTACATGCATCAATGTTTGCACCACTCTCTATATTAGGTTCACTTAACATACTAATGACACTTAATAAAATTTTTTCAACATTCTGCACAGGGGACCATCTTTCTTCAGCACGTTCATATTGATGTGGATCATCACCAGGTGGATGTAAGATTGATATGCAAACTTCACCATTAGCATAGATATTTGGATGTAAAATTGCTGGTGTAAATACTAATTTCGGTGGTGATAAAGGATAATCAGTTGGAAATGTTAATCTTGCTGGGAACACACCATTTTCATAAGGTGTATCTTGTGGACCTTCCAAAAGACAATCCCAAACGAATAGGTTACTGTAATATGATGATTAGCACTTGTTTCCTGTCAAATTTAAAATTATTCTAGAGAATCAAAAACGGTTAATTTCACTCACTCTTCACTAACTGGTCCCGCGACAATTCCTTCTGGCGAGTCTTTTGTCAATTGCTGATATTCTTTCAAAAGACGACGCTGTGCAGTATTGACTCTTGGTGGCATTATGAATGTCAATACTCTGTTTCTTTGTATTTTAGTATGTACTTCAGTTTTATGTTGTTCAATATCGATTATCATGAAATGCTTCACAAGATCAAAAACGAACACTGATACGTTTCAGAATTCGCGGGTAGCCATTCTTCAGGTTCTGGTTGGCGACACACTTGATGCTGCCATTTTGTGCGTGTATGGAATACTGTCAAATTTTAAGAGAACAATAATAAACTTTCTTTACATTTTTTAGTGCCACAAAGACGAACGACACAAAAATGCTCATCTTGAATAGTGACACAATTATTTTCAAGAACGGATATATTCTCATCCATTCTGAGGATGTTCGTTTACCCTTTTTGGGCTTCTGACCATTAAGACTTGCGGTATTTGCACGAGCTGCTTTTGCGTCTTTATCAAAGAACTATATTTGGCTAACTATTAGATTTCATATAAATTCAGGGAAATTCCTTGATAGGAAATTATTGCTTTTCTAAATATTTAACTACATTATCTGTTTTGATCATATTTTTATTATTATCCTAGAGATTTTGCTAATTTATTATTATCAAACCAAACAGTACTTGCAATTATAGCTATTATAGATTAAAGAATGATTTTATTACACAACGAGAGATTAGCCTGTGAGCAATGTATCAGAGGTCATAGGGCTGCTGACTGTCAACATTTGAACAAATCATTAATATCAATCAAGGGAAGAGGTAGACCACCAGCTAAGGATTTAAGTGTTAGATATAAGGTTGATCCATTTCCAAATATTATTAGTCAAACTTGGGAGCCAATTGAAAGTAAAAATGGTCGTGGTAGGCCTGGTGCTAAGAAGTTTTGTTTCCATGTGGATCCAGAAACTCCTGTTGAAACTTACCAAGTTAAATTAGGCAAAGGGTTCCTGGTTATTGGTCCATATGATCCACCACCAGATTTCAAATACCAAGGTGCATTTAGAATCAGAAGACATGTTAAAGGAAGAACTGTTATTTCTCCTATGAACACTTTTGGTGAAAGTTCTCCAAAGAAAAATGGTCTTCGTTCTCAAGGTGCTGGTGTTCGTAAGCCAAGAAAATCAAGGGCTAAGAAGCATACTAAAACAGAAGCTCAAAACGCTGAATTAAACGTTGCACAATCTGTCAATAACAATGCTGCTAATCAAACTTATCAAGTTAATAACCAATTACAACCACCACAACCATATCCACAACAGTTAGATAATCAGTATAATGGTCAATATCAATTCCAGGTTCAACCACAAGTTCAAGGTCAACAGCAATACACTCAAAATTTTGAACAATCACAACCTCAACCACAAACCCAAAGTAGATTTCAAATTGATCCACCAGATTATCTACAATATGCTAATCAACAACAAGACCACACTTCTAATTTCTTCAAATCCATTGACCAAAATAGAGGTAATAACAATACATCACCGGGTAATAATAGTGATGTTACAGCTGTTGAAGATGATACCTTTTCATCACCTTTTGACGAGTACCCTGTTTATGATAATAGAAATAATGGAGGTATGGATCAAAACCAAAGAGCTTCAATTTCATCACAAAGCTCTAATATCACTCTGACTGGTGCTCCTGATTTTGAGAATACATATTCATCACTGAATTATATTACCACCCAAAATAATATGAATGATCTGGAGCTTTTATCCGACCTTGATGCTGATCCTCATTCTGGTATTATCAATCCAAACCAATTTGATGCTGGTCCTTCTATTGATCCTTCAAATGTTCAACTGAATTCTGATGATTTTGGGTTTCAGCAGCATTTAACTGTCGGTGATGAGTTTTTAGCATTTGAAGAAGCAGCTCTTAGAGATACAGATAAAGAATCAAATCTTCCATCTACATCTGTCAATACTTTCCTTGGTGAATTACATCTCACTGATGATTTATTTGGTCATTATCCTCATTAGATTTATCAGTAATGAATTGGATATTATTGATACACTGCTGGTTGAAGTATTTCATTAATTCATTTGCTTTATAATCCTGTTGTTCTTTGATATATTATCAATAACATTTCCGTTTTACTTACTTTTCTTTTCAATTTTCCTTTTTCAAATATTTTCTTTGTTCAATTCTCCTTTTACTTTGTTTTAATAATTGTGATTTCCTATAATAATTAGAGTTATACGTTGATTCTTATGAAGGTTTAGATTTAACTTGCTTTTATATACCTAGAGTTCATTATGCATGAGAGCTTTCTAAAAGATTAGATTAAAAGACCGTTTTTGCATTAGAGTTTGCATAGATTTAAAGATTTTCCAAGATAAAATTATAATTTAATACACTAATAACTAATATGATTGATCTATTTGTTGAATGGGTTGGTCTGTCGCACCATGTTTTTATTTATGATTTTTTTTTTATTTAGATATATTAATTTGATATATTTCCTTTTTTTATAAAACTTCATGCTAGTCGTTCGTAGAGTGATTTATCTGATAGTAACAATTTTTCTATAAGTGTGATGAGAAGTTTTTTTAAAGCGCAAATATTATTCATCGACTTACATGAATTCCTTAAACATTCATCACTTTATATTATTTGAAATTAAACCCTCTAATTAAACCATCCTCACATCCAACAACAACGTAATTATTATCTAAGACAGTAGCTGAACAAACTGAACCTTTGAATATTTTTAACTGATTAGGCCCCAAGTGACTAATATCATCAAATAAACCAAACAAGTTTAATTCTTCAAAAACTTGATCAGTTTTACCAGATGTATAAATTTTAATCTCTCCATTATCCAAGATGACTATGATATGATTTTTATTTAAGCCAGTTTTGATAATTGGTGAATCATAATTTTTTTCAAAAATGTTTTTCTTGATTTTTGTGTCAAATATTAAAACCTTATTTTGATTTATTGTAAATATAAATAATTCATTTTTAATCTGGAAATTTGAAATTTCATCAGACTCTTTAATATTAAAATGATATATTGGGGTTGTACTTGTCCCATCTTCTTTATGAATTTCACATGAATTATCTAGGAATGTAACTATATCACCATCTTGATTAAATCGAGCATGGTCAGCTTTTATTGGCTTGAAAGTTTTATCTGCTTGATACCTCACTTGATTTTTACTTGTGTCAATTTTATTCAATGAGACAGTCTTATCTGAAACGATTAATAATTTATAATCTTTATAATCCATAGAGCTTGGTTTTGCATTCATATGAACTGGATGTGTTGGTTTGCATTTTTGCCACAATTTAACAGATTTTGAAGTTGAAGTTATAAAAGAATTATCATCAATACATTGAATATCAAAAATTGGTTCGGTTTCACCTGTAAATGTTAAAGCTGGTCTGACATCATCAGATTCCACTGCAAAATCTTTAAAATTCCATAGTTTTATTGTACCATCATCACTAGAACCCAATATATCACCATTTTTAAAAGATGAAACTGCATTAATTGTAGAGACATGAGTTGTAAGTATGAATTTTTGCCATTTTTTATGATTTGGTTTTGTAATTTGTGAAATTGAAGCTGAATAATTTAAGTTTGAAGTAGAAGAAGAAGATGAAGATCCATCAGTTTCTGGTTCTCCAGTGACAGTTTCTGCATCTGATTCAATTGAATTAGGTTCATCATTGAAATCATTAAATGGTTCATTTGTTACTACTGGTGAAGCCACTTTGGTATTATCTTCTTGATTTAATTGTGGTACTTTCCTTTTTGAAGTGTTATCAACTGGTGAATCAATTTGAATATTTGGAGGTGGCTGGGATGGTGATAATTGTGAATTTAATGGCGTTTCAACAATACTATCACTCTCCGTTTGACTAATTGCAGAATTTGCTGAGCCGAAAAAGGCACGATTTTTATTCAGTTCTAAATGTGCAGTATGATCAATTGAAGTATGACTTAAGAGGTAACTGATTTCTGTTAATTGACTTTTCAATTTCTCTTTTGATTTGGCTAAAGGATTCAAATCAACATTATTGAACTTAATTTTAGAAACATCATTTGATTTTGTATTAACTGTCTTCAATTTACCATCTTTTTCCAATGATGATCTCAATTGTTTGACTTCTTCTTTTAAAGATTGATTTTCACCTTCAAGACGTCCAATTTTAGATTTCAATTCACCTCTTTCATTTTCCCATTGTATTCTATCTCTGTCAATAGTGGTCTTTTCCCTTTGAAGATAGTGTATTATTCCTGGAAGCGTGTACTCTGGTTGCTGAGGCGGTTGGAAGTTGTGAGAAGCCATGACAATATAGTCTTTGATTCTGTGCCTGTAATTCAATGATAACAAATTTCTGGCTTTGTTTGAATGCTTTTTAGGGGAAATAGGAGTTTCTTATATTCCTTTGTTTATATGGAAATGTCAACTTTTGATCAAAAATTCCGGTGTCTGAACCGACCATCAAGAATCCAGACAAATCATCGACAAAAGACAACGACGAGAAAGACTAATTACAATAGGGACAAGGACATATCTACAAAATCATCAGAATGTATAAGAATTAATATTAATGACAAGGTTACCAATTTTATATACCCTCAAATAAACAATCCCATGTTTATTTGATATGTGATGATCTTCATATTCATATTTATATTCATATGGTTTAATAAAAAGATACAAAATAACAGCAAAAAGAAAAAGCACACAACCTATTCTTGTTTAACACCACCATTACCAGCCTTTTCAGCTTGTTCAATAGAATGTTTATCAGTTTTAACAGTATCTTGACCACCAAAACCACCAAACATTGAAGCAGCTTTGAAAGGTCTTTTCAAATCGCCACTTGCAGCTTTACCGAAAACATGAATTTGAACAATGTTTGATTCCAAAGCAGATTTAACTGGTGAAATGGATTGCATAACTAATGGATTGGTGTATTTCATGTATAAATGCATAAAAGCCATCATGGCTAAACTGGTGTAAACACCTTTAATAGCAGCTTCAACTTGTTTCAAATCGTAATCTTTAACAGTAGTAACTTCTAATTTTTCTTCAGTTTCACCAGCCATGGCATTTGGAGGTGTAACGAATTTTAATGTAGTTAAATCATTCTTTCTGTTGATAATACTCTTTGTATAGAAATAAACACCTAATGTGAATAAAGTAGCAGTAACGAATGCAGCTCTAACATAGAAAACAACATTTGGATCCTCAAAGTTCAATTTTTTGGAGACTTGCATCATGATCAACATGATGGCCAAGTTGGAGATGGCTGGATTCATTGTGTATGGGTTTTGGTTTGATTAGTTGTTGATAACCTTTGTTGAGTTAACAATAGCGGTTAATGGAAATAAAATTGAATTGTGTGGGTTTAAAAATCAATCTCGACGTTTTTTTTTCTTCTCGTTTGGTTTACGGCCACCTAATCAGATTTTTTTCCCGTTGTGGCTTAGTCAGCAGAGTGTGGATGTAAACGAGTATAGATAAGAAGATTCTAGAAGATACTACAAATAAGCATTGGTCATAAAGACGTATATGTAGTATGTATATACCAGGTGTCTACCACGGGTTCATAGTGTTTTCATCATCGACTCCCCAATTACGATGTGCTAGAGAACTAGGAACTTGTAGACTTTGGAACAATTCATCGTGTCTATCGTTTCCAAAACCTTCTTCATTATTATTATTGTTTCCATTTCTATCCCTCTCTTTTTCACGTTCTTCATCATCGTCATCATCATCTTGCTCTTCATCATTATACTCTTCATTCTTTCTTTCATTTGCCTCATCTTCTTCTTGTTTTTGTTTTTGTTTGGCCTTTTGTTCATGAATTTCATCAATTGAATCTATAATTTCATAAGGAAGGAATGGTTGATATTTAATAGCTTTAGCCTTATCAATACCACCAAGACCGGCACCATATTCATTAACTAGTTCTGGAATTGTAGGTAATGCAACAGGGAAATCTTGACTTGGATTTAAATATAAGAAATCATTACCTTGATATAGTATATTTGGTCTTTTTTGATCTTCATTTTTAACTTTGGATTGAATTTTCTTGGATAAAGTTTTTGGAAATTTTTCTTCATCAACTTCATATCTATATTTGTCAATAGTTCTCATTAATTGAGCAGCATTTAACGATTGTAAACTCTCAAATATAGCAAGTAAACTATCCTCATCTCTAAGAATTGTAAATGTTTGTAACCACTGTAATAACTCATAAAAGACTTCGAAATGAATCTTTAATATCGAAAACAACGAAGTATGATAGAATGCTAAATCATTTGGATCTTTAACATTACCGTTATAAAATGCCACTTTATTCAAGACTAATGGATGTTCTTCAGTTATATTTTCCTCTATTAATGTATATGGGAATGCTTTTAATAAATAAGTATCAATATCAGGTAATGAAGGTGATTTGTTATTTGATCTTGTCCAATCTTCAATAACTGACACATTTAATCTTATTTGTATAGCTTGTGCTCTTGAAAGATATTTTTTCTGTGATAAAACTCTATTAAATAAAGTTATTGATAACCAATAAAATACAGATGAAAAAGTCTGTTGTGTAATCAATGGATGAACATCATGTAATTCTAAAACATAAAGCAAAGCACCTAAAGTTTGTGTGATCTTGATCGGCGATGGTTTTAATTGTTCTTTAACTGATGGAGGATATAACATTTTATAAATATCATCAAATGTTGATTTTTGTTGTGATTTCTTCTTGAAAAAATTCCAATCATTTTTATAAAGAGTACCATTAATAACTGGTATATTGACAAAATTTAATAAACAATCATCAATTAAATCATTCAATCTAAATTTAATTGAATTTGTTAATTCAATAATCAATGATTGATATGTTATAACTAAATCTTGCAATAATCTTGGATATCTTTTGAAAAATCCATCATCACGACATAGGTAATAATAAAGAAAGTTTATAACTGATAACCAATAACTTTGTAAAACAATATCACCTTGACTTTGAATACTGGTAACACCAGATTTTGAAGCTGTACTGGCTCTAATTCTTGTAAATGCTAAATTTAAGAAATTCTCAACTAACAAATCACTTTTCTTCGAGTGATCTGCATATCTAACACATTGATAAATAACTGCAGCTGGATAGGTAGTCTTATGTGCATGTTTCTTTTCTAATTCGAAAATTAAATCTAAAATTGATGGAATGTCAAAATCTGAAAATATAATGTATTGATTTTTTTGTAATTTATTGAAATTAAATTCATCATCAAATAAGGCATTGGCTGTTGTTGCTGCTGTACCTGCTGTAAATGCATTTGAATCTTGATATAAATTCGTATCATCTGTAATGTTCAACCCGGCAGTTTTCAACCTTATGTTATCATACAATTCATCTTCTTTTTCAGCACTTGGTATAGCAGCTGCCTTATAAAACATATCTTCACTATCTTCATTGGATTTGTTTTTATTTTCCAATAATCCATGTTCTTCAAAAAAATCATACATTTCTGAACCTGGTTTAACTAAATCGAAGACGGTTATACCATTTTTACCTTCAGCTTCTAAATTAGCACCATGGTTCAACAATTCTACAACAATTCCCTTATGTTGTAGCCATACCGCCCACATCAATGGTGTATATCCAAACATTGCATCTGGTTTGTTCAAATTCTCAGCAGATTTTGCTAGGATAATTTCCACAGCTTCTTCATTATCAAAGACAATAGCATAAGTAATTGGATAAAGACCACTATCATCTTCTTTGTTCAAGTATTCGTAAGTCTCTTTGTTCTTCAAAATCTCCAATAATTTTTCGTTATCACCTTCAGAAGCTGCTATGGATAAGTCAATCAATGGATTTGAGTTCCCAGTAGACTGGAGCAATTTCAATGCCTTCTTAGCCGCCTCTAACTGAGCAATCTTAGGATCCACACCAGTAAGAGTGGTGGAGATGTTTTTCACTGCACTCCAAGGGTCTATTTCCATCTTTCAAGTTTAGAATTAACGGCTGATTTACTTCAATTGTTGAAAATTCCAGAATTTGTTTACTTATTTAGTCAAAGCCTTTATTCACATTTTTGTCTTTCCGATTAAACTCTTTAATAAAAATAGACTCTTCGCGGAATTCAGACAAAAGTTCAATTAAGCGCTAGTCTTAATAGTTAACGTACATTAACTTCTCTGAATACCTCAGGGTTGGCTCAGAAAGGACTGTGGCCCTAGCGTAAGTATTACAACTTGATGCTTCACAAGTTGATCATCAAGATCAAGCTTATGTTTTTGGCATCTCAAATATTAGAAGTTACTATACAGCCGAACACCGTACTCAGACGTCAATGGTCATACGATTAAAGAAAAGCTGAGTATTTGAGACTAGCTAATATATAATTTATACCATTGAATATATGTACCTCAATCAATCACAAGTCCATTAGACACTCACAACCAGTTCATCTCATGAATTTAAGGAAAAATTAGCGGAAATATCATTTGTTTTGGTGATACTCGAATTTCTCATTTATTCATCTTTGTGTCACTGTTGTTCACTGGGTAGTAATGTTTTTTTGAGGATCTGCATGATTTTATCAAAATTACAATATTTCATCATTCGATCGAAAATATTCATGTTTTCTACTAAAGATCATCAAGATAAACTACAGTTGGGTTCAAGTTGAATGTGACTATTGAAGAAATTAAGGACCTTGAATGTGTTGAATATTCTAGTATCATGGGCACTGTTATTTCTTATACACGGATTTGAATCTTTTAAGTAAGGTCCCCCTTCTTTTAAGGGTACCCAGGGTCTCATTCTGTACTTCGTGTACCTCATGATTTTTATATGGTAAATTAACGTTTGATTGATTTTCACCTTGGTAATTAGCATTATTTTTTGGAAACAAGAAACCCCCAAGACGTGAATTACCTCGTTTCAACTTTTGCTTATCTTTATTCAAGTTCTCTTTATTAGCTGCATCGTTTATGTTCTGGATGCTTTTGTTTTCAGTATTGTTCACGTTATGATTTTTTCTCTTGTCATTTGCAAATGAAATAGTTTGATCTCTTATAGAGTCAACATTATTTAGACTTCTATTCCTTTTCAAAGACGCAAATCTCAAATTTCTTGTTCTGTACAGTACAGATAAACTTCTTTGGCGACCGGGAATAGGTGTAGGTGTATAATCCTCCACTGCTTTAGTTGTTCTTAGCCTTTCATGAATTGAAGATGCCATGGATCCACTGGTATCCGAGAAAGCAGAGTCCCTAGAGACCGGATATCCATTTGATATATCTATGAAATCACTTTGAGTAGCATCAGTTGTATTCGTCATTTGGATTATTCTTCTTGCATCAACCGTTTCTGTCGATAAAACCTGTGTTTCACTTGGAGGCTCAAATTCTTGATTAAGAGCAAAATTACCAGCATATTCATCCAAAGAAACTCCCGAATCCATTGAAAGGTGTTGTGAGCCAATCCTTTTACCACGTGAAGTCTTTCCTCTGAATAATGTATTACTCCACGATGATTTGACGTTATTGCTTTGTTCGCTGTCATGAACTTTTGAATCTAGAGTATTTTGGGCAGACGCATCTTTCAAGCTGCCTGAACCTTTTGATCTAGCAGTGAATATTTTTCTTATAGTCCTAGATCTCCCAATAGGGTTTTTCTTATCCATAAATCTATTACTTGTCTTCCAATAATTCTGGCTTAATTTACTTGTTTCTGTATCCGTTTCCGTAGTACTAGCTTTGAAGTTTGCTGAAAGAGTTTGTGAGCTCTTATCTGTAGTTGATGGGGTTTTAATGACTTCTATAAAATGCCTGTTTGCTTTTGGTGTATCTTTTGATTTGGTATGAATACCAGCATCTTCGAACAACTTTGCTGTCACCGTACCCGGCGCAGATATCCCAATATTACTTATAACTTCACTACTTGGATTAACAACATCAATAATTTCTCTTTCTGGTCCATCTTCAGTATCAAGATTATTCTTTTTGTTATCATTAATAAAAGCAGATGAAGGCCTTGATACTGAATTGATTCTCGTGGAAATTTTAGATAAAAAACCAGTGCCAATTCCCCCATTAGATGTAATTGATTTTGGACTAGTAGGGGGTTCAATTTCCTTTTCTTCATGTTTTTCAGTAGTTGATTTTGTAAATTTAAACCCATATTTTTTGTTATATTGAGATATGGCGCGCTTCATCCCTTTAGAATATGAAGCCGACTTTGGACTAAATGAAGAGTTTGGCTGTAAATCACTACTTGTATGTGATTTAAGAGATGGAACCTTGTTCACCATACGCTCCAATTCACCTGATATGTTATCATCTATTTCGAAAGCTGAATCTAAGGACTTTATCCAATCAGCCTTATCTTTAAAATTTTCGAAAGTTTGTTCATTTAAAGATGAATCTGGAAAATTCTTATCAAAATCATTTGCAAGGATATTAATCAACGAAGATCCAGAGTAGACAGCTGATGTTCCAGCAAATGGTTCAAAAGCAGATGCAGTTTCTGTATTCTTTATAGACGGTTCTTGGGCAATTAGAGGTGTGTCATTTTGGTATGAAGTATCAATAAATCTATCATCAGCCCTTTCATCTAATTCTGGAGAAGTGATTCCTGAATGGAAATTAAAAGACGATTTTAAGTTCCCAAAGTTGTAATCTTCGACTCCCTTTACCTCTTCTTCTTTAGGACCTTTAGAATTAGCCCCACTGGTCCAGTTGATATTATCTTTCTGTAATACGTTTTGATTCATTGAAGCTTTGGGATCATAGCTTGGTAATTGTAGGCTTTTATCTAGTATTTCGCCTTCCTTGAGATCAGGAGAATCCAACTTTTGATTGTAGTTGAAGTATATATTATTATGTTGCATATTTGGTAGCTTATAACCTGGGTTGTTTGAAATTGGAGATGATTGATCACTCTCAATCACCGATATAACTTCTAATGTATCTTTGTTGAGATTCATCAGTCTTGGGGTTGATGCCATTGATCTTTTATCTTTTGAGACGGAGCTTGATGGGTTGAAATTGGTGCTCTGCAGAGACAATATCAAATTTGTTGGCTCTTCGAATTTGGATTCCAGTTCTTTCTCATGGTATATGTCCAGCTTTGTTTTGACTTCATCGGAAACTGCTGGAACAGATGTATCACAGGCTAATAAACTTTTCCAAGATCTTGAAGCATTAAAAGGATTGGATGGAGTCTCTTGTGTTGGAAATTCTTGATCTGAAGTGAATAATGGTTCTTCTTCTACTTTAACCTCGGGAACGTCCAAAAATTGATTAAAAGTAGTGGGAAAGTCTTCATTAGATTCAAGTTTTGAGGAACCAATCTCACCATTTGATTGATACAGCGTATCGTCATCTATAGTATCTTCAACAATATTGAGTAATGGTGGAGCAGTTATGTTAGCTGTAGTATCAGGATCCGCCAAATATTCGTATTGTGATTGGGTACCAACTGCATCAATAACTTGTTGTTCATCTTGATCTTCCAGTTCCTTTTGTCTATCTCCATCTAGATCATGTTCCTCATTATCTATTTTATTTCTATTGGGATTTTTTGAAACATTTAAATTGGAGAAGCTAATAAGTGGTGTCTGAGACCTACCATTGATATTATCTATACTTATAGCACTATTCATAAACATAGGTTCCGATTCTTCATCCGATTCTCTAATAGCATCTAATTTGGCAGGTGTATTAAAAGTCGATAGCAGCAGATAGTCTGAGTTTAAAGGACTCCCAATATCATCACTGGACCATTCACCAGACTCCATAATTTCAGTATCGTCACCTTTATCATTTTCATCATTTATTTGTTGAGTACTAGAATCTGAAGATTTTCTAAAAATATCTGTAAAACTAACAGCAGTATCTGGGTCTGGTACACGAGCAGCAGCCCTTAAATCATAATTATCGAATTCTTCATCTTCATTGGCATCACCTTCAGACTTTTTGGGGGCTTTTTTTATGGAAAAGAGCTTGGTTAGACCAAATCCTTCAGAAACATTAGATACCGCAGACTTTGGTTCATGAAACAATTGAGGATCAATATATCTTAAATCTTCTTCATCTGGTTGGGCTAATTGTTTTCTTTCTTCCTCCAGTGCTTTTGCAATCTCTTCTTCGGTATATTTCAATGACTTCTCAACTTTGATCTCACTGATCATATTGGTAATAATATCATCATTACTGAATTTTCTTGTACCCATTTTCAACCAGATGTTTGTACTAAAGCGGTTTACAAACCACAACCACCTTCTAACTCAATGAACAACTAAGGGCGTACTTTTGTGAAAGTTGAGACACTGAGATACTTAGCCAGTACTTGGATAATCCACTGTAAGAAATATTGAACTTCATATTAACCAACTTATCGATTCATAAACAAAAATCATTGTTAAAAAAACACCAAAATTGTTTAATGCTTCTGTACACAAAAACGTAAACAATAGGATTTTCTTTATCAGTTGGTCGGATCTAATTTTGGTCAAAGGCCGGATTTCGATGTTTGATCTGGTGTATATTGAAATTTCTTTTGCCAGCGCTTAATTAAGAATTAGTTTCAAAAGTTCTAAAACATTTTGATTTGAATAGTTGACACACCAGTTTTAAGTGAATCACGATCGTTTGACAGGTGTTATCTTCTTACATTCCATTACAAGCTCATACAAGTTGTGTTTGTGTGTTTTTGGCGGCAACATAGTATCAAAGAGAGATTAAAAATCAAAAGATAACGGTGATTTAGCAATTGCAATTACGAGATTAATAATAGAATTATGAAACTATTACAACTATTTATAATAACGAGTGTATTAACATTTGAAACTTCAGCTCTGAAAGGTTTCAACAAAAGAGCCTGGGATTATGGTACTTCAGATATAACAAATTATTTTAAAAATGATAAAGATGAAAGTACGAAATCTAGTGAAGAACAACAAACTAAAGAATCACCTATACCTGAGGAACCCAAATTAAGTCCATGTTCATCCACAAATCCGTTAACTGGTGGATTTTTTGATCTATCAGAATTAAGTTCAATCAATCAAGAAAATATAGTGGCATGGAGTGCCAAAGGTCATGATTATAATAAAAATTTCACATTGGGTGTATGTTCATCACCTTTAAAACCAAATGTTGAGGTGAATAATAACTTTGATGGCCATTTTGCTAAATATCAAATAAATTCTAGTGAAGTTGGTGGGTTTTATGTGGATGAATTTGGTGATAAGTTCAGTATTGGTAATTTTAATTCCACTCCAGTTTTCAGAGGTAGAAAATTAACTTTAAGTTATCATAATGGTAGTTACTGCCCAAATGGTATTGATAAGAAATCAACTTTGCTTTCATTCATTTGTGATAGAGAAATCTTATCAAAAGCAACTGTTTCATTTGTTGGTGTTTTACATGATTGTGATTATTTCTTTGAAGTTAGAACAGTACATGCATGTCCAACGGCTCAAAAGGCAGATAATTTAGCACTGATATGGATCTTTTTATTTATGTGAGTATCTATGAATTTGAGAATTTATAATTTGGAAATATCAACTAACAATTTTTATTAGATTCTTTGCTGCATTCTTGGTCTACTGTAGTGGTGGGTTCTTATATAAGAGAATTGTTTTAAATCGTCGTGGTTGGAGACAAATGCCTAATTATGGGTTCGGATCTAAAGTGACTTCAGCATTATCAGGAGGTGTAAGTATATGATTTAAGATTAAAAATAGTTTTAATCAAAAGTTTTGTTTAAATATTAATAATAATTATAAAGGATTAAATTTTAACATTATATTTTTAGTGGTCAAGAAGAAATTCTTCTAGAGGTGCAATTAGTTTGAATTCAAGTGATAGATTTGGCTTCATTGAAGATCAAAACGACTTGATTGACTCATTAGATGTCGAGAATGATTGATCAAAGTACATATATATAGACCATCAATATTAATATACCATACAACGTCTTCATTTCATGCCCTAATTTTTTGTAAATGCTGTCACAATTTTTTTTTACCCGTCCTGTGTCACGTGGTATTACCCGGACATTCCACATAGTTAAAATTTAGCCGGTGAATCTCTGGGAAGAGGTTCGCGAATTTCAAAAGTTGGAGGAAAATTTTTCTTCTGACCACATCGCAACTGATAAAAATTTTTTTCAATCTTTTCTTCCTTCTTCTTCTTTTTTATATTGAAATTAACAACTCTTGTTTTAATAAGTCAAAATGGTAAGTAATTGATGCCTAAATGGTTGGTGATGGTATTGAGAGTGTAATGATGGAATAGAGCATCATTGATTCATTCAATTGGATCATTGTTGATTGATTTAATTTGGTCTGATGTTTTGGCGGCAAGCTTTTTTTTCAGATCAACACTTAATCAAAAAAAAACTTTTCCATCAATATTCACCAATCAACCAATCAATTTCATTGTACTGGATCAATATACTAACAAGTTATTAATAGGGTAAAGAAAAATCTCACGTTAACGTTGTCGTTATTGGTCACGTCGATTCTGGTAAATCAACCACCACCGGTCATTTAATTTTCAAATGTGGTGGTATCGATAAACGTACCATTGAAAAATTCGAAAAAGAAGCTGCTGAATTAGGTAAAGGTTCTTTCAAATACGCTTGGGTTTTAGATAAGTTAAAAGCTGAAAGAGAAAGAGGTATTACCATTGATATCGCTTTATGGAAATTCGAAACTCCAAAATACCATGTTACCGTTATTGATGCTCCAGGTCACAGAGATTTCATCAAAAATATGATTACTGGTACTTCTCAAGCTGATTGTGCTATT